ACAAAGTAGTTTCGCTTTCACAACGAAACACACAGCGTCTTCATGACATGGCGGCGGCAGCAACAATACTACAGCAAAAATAAGTTACGCCTTCTTTCTTGCGTGAACATTTGGGCAGTGTTAATGCAAATCTTCCCACATCATGACGTAGACATGTCGGGGCGGGTTTAAACGAGGCGTTTTAGGAGGGCATGGACGAGTCTTTAACTTTTAAATAGAATATCTCTTTGGGTTTGAGACTTTAGTCTTTGCAACTTTAGGGATCTTATCTATTCACGAACAGCTTGTAACACTCCAAAGAGAAAGGAAAACTTGAAATCGCAGCATATGACCCCTTTAAAATTTAAATTTGGCCATATAACATTGATCGTAGATTTTCTTTTGGTTTCTTATGATGTATGCTTGGATGAGGCTCAGATGTGAGGAAATAGGTCATAGTTTACAAAAAAGGGTAATCTGTCTTACCCGCTTTGGATTGTTCTGGCACAACTGACAAGCTTTCAGCATGCCCCAGGCTCCCTCAGAGAGCACAGACGAAACCTTCTTATCAACCAGCAACCTAAAATTCCAGCTCAATTGTGCTGGCAGAAGTCATCGGAGCAGAATGTCTCTAAAATGACAAATTCTGTAAAATAAAGTTCGAGAAACAGCATGACACTGGCTTTTAGAGTTAGTTTGTCTATTAAGAAAAGCTGTTTGAAAAGCAATTATAGCTATCGTTTCAAGAACAAACTAACAGATGCATCAAGGTCCTGTCCTTTGTTTAGAAGAAGACTGTAAGGAAATATTTTTTGCTTTGTTTGCAATCTAAACCACCTCAGTCCTCTGCTGTCCAAACTAAAAGCTCACCGTTCTCTCATAGAGGACACACATGAACCAACGCCTGAGGTGACCACCCAAAAGCCTGTTTTAGAAGACTCCGAACCCAAGCCCTCCTTTGATAAAGATGTGCCATTCGGTATGACCCTCCATGTTAAGCTACAGTTGTGCCGCTCTACTTTGCTGTACTGTCCTGCCTGTTGCTCAGCTTCATAGGGCCAGTTCCCTTGATCCCATTACTCCTTATTACGCTAATGATTTGACTTTCAATTTGGTCACAGCTTTGATTCATTTCCCACGGATGCAATACAGCTACACTGTATGAATCAAATTCAGTTTTCTGCATAATTATCAGTGAAATTATTAAATAAATAACTGGCACTTAAATGTTTTTTGTGATGAACGCCAGCCTCTCATATTTTTCATGGACAAATGAGAGTGCTAAATACAAATGTAGTCATTTATCATCCACACCTGCTGCTTTTCTCCCGATACTATGCTTTGATTTCCAACGAGGGCCCTTTCAGGCAGGTTATGTAGTTTTAATTTTCATGCCTATTAACAAAAGCTTTTTTTCTCTTATAATTTTCTTAAGTCCAGGCTGTAGGGTTCCCACGGTCATGGAAAACCTGGAAAAATCTGAGAATTTGAAAGTGGCTTGGAAAAGTAATACAACTTTAAATGTGATAAAAATTATATGACAAATTTATAGTGACAATAAATTTCCCTGATTATGCTATGTATGGAGAAAGCCAAATCCTCCATTGAGCCACGTTCAAACCTTTTGTCTTTTTAGAAACTGATAATGAACAACAGGAAAAGTCACGCTATAAACAGTGGGAACCTTAACACTAACATAAAAATTTTTGCCTTGATTTTGCTTATAACAAGTTTCCAAAAAGAAATGCTTATTACATTATCAACAGTGAAAATTACATTGACTTTTTTGGACCAGCAACAAGCCTGGAACCTCTCAGGAGTGACCTTGCCATGTTCTTAGAAGCTTTTTGGAAACTTAGTTGAGTTGTTTTTCGCTGATGTTGTGATATGCTGATGTAAAGCAGCACTGAAAAAAATCACTGAAAGCTAATTGCATGCCTTCAAGGTTGTAAAATGCCGTTGCAAAAGGAAGTAGTGTTCCCGAGCAACATAACTAGCTCTTTAAAGGATTCAAGGCCAGTAAAAGCCCAGAATATTTGTCATAGAGCAATTAGGCAGATCTACTCTACCCTTCCTTTTGCATAAGAGAATAATGTAAGTTCTGGGCAGGGAGACTACTAGACTAAATAGTGGTGCCCAGAACATCCATTTGGTATTTTACATGGTCAATCAGTAAGTGAGTAAATGACATGAGCACTAGAGTTGCTAATGGCTTAGATGGATGTACCTGTCTGGTGCCGTGACCCGGACATACAGGCTGTAATAATAAGAATAATCATAATTATTGTTGTTATTAAAACAAAAGATTTAATAACAGCTCTAGTTATTACTATTATAGAATATTGAAGTGATAATATATATATTTTTTCAAAACGCTTTATTGCCAAATTCCAAAACTTATAACAGCCAAAAATATTTACACTTGTGTGAATATAAAAAATTGTTGTTTAATAACAGCTCTAGTTATTACTATTATAGAATATTGAAGTGATAATATATATATTTTTTCAAAACGCTTTATTGCCAAATTCCAAAACTTATAACAGCCAAAAATATTTACACTTGTGTGAATATAAAAAAGTGAAATCAGAGCGCTGTACTTCACACTACAGAAGCATTCACATGTTCTTCACACATCTGAGTTTATTTGGAGCACTCACATAACATTTCTCACAAAAGAGAGATAAAAATGCATATTTCATGGAATTCTATAGACGCTTATTTTATTTTAATTGTACTATTTGACTTTAAATTAGATTTTACAATGTACAGTACAGTTATTTCACAAATAAATAAATTTGCACAAAATATAACAATAAATAATCACACATGCACACACACACAAACAATAAGGCTACCTTCTGCCATTACATAGGACATATAATTACCTCACAAAAGTTCAAGGTCTAAGTGAATGGACTTAAAGACAAGCTTCATTTATCATTTATCTCCCAGAACCACAAACTCATTGATCTTGTCAGAGAATTAGCAGTCTAGTTGAGACAAAGGCATTAAGATGGCGTTACGTATGTTGTATGCTGTGGTTCTATGAAGTTGGGAGTGATGTAAATGTATTAGACTACCATTAGCCATCAGCTGAATATTTCATGTTAGAGAACATGTTGCTGATGTTTGCAGTACAGCTGAAATGGGTCTGCAACTTTAATGGCTACTAAGTCCACTTTACATTCGAGCTCTTCACTTGTTATGAACTGCCGGAGAGATCAAATGTCTATAAAGTCATTCATAATGTAGACTTTCTCCATTCATTTCATATGATAAACCCATTTTACTTTAAAGCTATAGAGGAAGGGTTAACTTAATAAAAAACATTTTGCTTTGTTTCCTGTGATTTATAGGTTGATAAGCAGTGTGCTTTTCTGACACCCATCGAGGACATAAATTAAGCAAATTTACAAGACAATTTATTAGCAAAATTACTTAAAATAAATTCACCTACCGAACTGGGCAAAATAATCCCAAAGCTGCTGTTAATGTTCTCTGTATCTCATCTGCTCTTTTAACTTGCTTCCATGTGATCACACAACTTTGACCGGTCTGGACCGACAGCAGGAGCTGGAGAAGGTATGGTGGGCTCACCACCCCCTTATCCCCCTGCAATGTAAAAGTTCAGAGGATTTAAATCTAAACAAACATACATTGGGCTCATATATCACCACAACTTCATTATTTCATTGCTTGTGCATACATGCAGAAATCAAATAAGAGATCTCAATGGGAACCATAATCTTCCTAATTAAGTCTCTTTATATTGACTCTATCTCGCATCACTGTATCTTAAGAAATTAAAATTCTGAGAATAACGAGGCGTTTATTTAAATCTATCATTGAATGCATTAAAAATGTTTCAAATGCATTCAAAGCACAATGCAAAACATACTCTTTACTGCTCAGATCAGATCCAGAATGTACTATCTGTGCATTAAATTATACTTGCTAATGGACAATGCACCAATTCATTGCTTCACTGGTCATTTTGCTACCAGTCGTCTATGCTTTACACACTGAAGCTCACAGAGATGTTGTGGGTCATTGTAGATATTGTGGTTTGATTGGCCAGTTCATATTGTTATTAATGGTTTTGATTGTTTTTGTTGTGATTGAATGAGTGAAGAGACACTTTTATAAGCACTGATCCCATAACCCCTTGACCCTACTGTACTGACCACCTCATTTGCTACTGCAGTTACCAGTTTTTAAAAGTACAATCCATGTTGTAGTCTCCTGCTTGCTAATTTAGATGACCAAGCATCAATTATTGTAAAAGTGCCTTTAACTAGTATACTGTGTAAAAACAGATTTTTGGACTGTTTAACTTGACATGAAAACAGAAACTTGCGTTTTGTGTTGTGTTTGGGCCCCTTACGTGGTTCTGTGCATTTAGTTCCTTTCAGTTCCTTAATTCCTTTTCTTTCTCTGCTTCTATTGTTGACTGTGGAGAGAGCGTGGTTAAGTGTTGCTAATTCTACAGTGTTGTCTGTGGCTGTTCCTATCATTCTGCCTTCCACGTCATCAGAAGATTTAACACCCAGAAGTCTGCCCGAGAGTGGCCGGAGCAGTGCGGCATCAGTGGATGGGGAGGGAGAGCGAGAGAATGGGGAAAAGGAGAGCTCTGTCAGCCCAAGAGAGTCTCCAATGTCTCCACATCCACTACCAACAACTCTAGCTGATGATTTGGGTTCAGGGATCACGGGCTTTGACAGCCAGGTGAAGAGGAGTCCCTCAGAAAAGATGACTGACCATCATAGTGCCAGTGGATCTGAGGAGGAGGAGAAAGTAGAAAATGAGACGGAGAAATCTGAGAGAAGATCTGGTATTCCCAGTGTGGAAGAAGCTCCCAGAAGTGCTATCAACATAAAAGAGGATAAAGAAGAGGACAAAGAAGCAGTTAGTGATGAAGAAGAGGAAGAAACTGGAATTTCCTTGGTGCCCAGTTCTGTCACCCCAGACTTGACAATCCAGAAAGATGATAGCATTGTTGATGAACAAGAAACCCCTTCTCATCTTCCCATGACTCCAGAGGAAGCTAAAAAACGTGGCCTATCGTTTGACTACACAGAACCTCAGGATCCCAGTCGTCAAGGTGGTCCTGTGGGTTGGGAATGCAGCTCTGACAAAACACCACCAGAAAGCAAGAGCCCCGACTCGTGCAGGGCTGATCCGGGATCGCCTCTTTCTCCCAGTGCTGCTGCTGAACCTACCCAAGAGGAATCATCTCTAACAAACTTACAAACGGATGCTCGGGAGGAAGAAGAGGAAGTAGAGGTACCAGAACCTGAACAAGTAGAGGAGGCAACCACCGTTCCTCCATCCTTCCAAGAAGTTGCTGCACCCAAGATACAGCCTAAGGCAGAGGAACGTAGAGAACCTGAAGAAGAAAAAGAGATCAAGCAGGAGAAATATTTGGAGACGAGCGATGATGATCAAATTGATACGGAGAAGGTCCAGCCTGTTGCCACACCTGAGCCTGTTGCCAAAACTGAACCTGAAGCTAAGGATGCCGTTAAGCCCAGTGCCCAAGTAATGCCCACAAAAGCACCAAGCAAAGCATCTCCTATCAAAGAATCTCCTGCCAAAAAAACAAAGAAACCCGTCGCTACAGTTGATGCCACTCCTTCCCCTAAATCTGTTCCTAAACTTCAGAAAACTCCCTCTAAAGATGCTGCTCCGGCCAGAAAAGCAAGTGTCCCATCCAAAGGTCTGTTTTTCCGTTCTGTTCCTCCAAACCCCTCACAGATCTTCTTTATTTCACCTTCCCTTTTCTTCTTTTTAAAGTAGATCAGTAGAACTACGCAGTACCCTTTCTGAAAAGCGCACACTGCGATAAGAGTGTGTTCGGTTGAAGAAACGGGCTGCTTGTAGCCACAAAATCTCTCTCTCTCTCTCTTGATCCTTTGTGCCCTGTGTATCTTTCTCTTCTCCTTCCCTCTCTGTGTGTGGTCAGTGTTATTTCGCTTGTGTCTGTGACTAACTCTGTGCATTGATTGACCGTTACTGCTGGCACAGTTTTCACCTGCCCCTCTCTATTGCATGTCACCTGTGCATGTATGTTGAATGTATCACTCACAGAACTGTGCTTTACCTTTATGGGTCCACCCCTTTCCCAGATGTCTGTGTTATTAAACACAACCAAGTGGACCCAAAGGCCCATGCTGATGGGGGTGACTATAACACACACTGAAAGGAGAAGGTCAGCAATTGCTGCTGGGTTCAAGACAAAATCCCCTAAATGTCTCCCACAGCTGTGCAGACATCTTCTACAAAAAGATCAGACAAGCTCACTCAATAATGTGAAACATTCAATTTTGCGAACAATCTCAAGGCAATCTTTTGGTGCTCAGCAATCTAGCAAGCAAAGTTTGGTGCTTGCAAGGCAAGGCAAATTCCTGAATCATTCTGCTCGTCTTTCTTCTCCACAATTTCTTTTTTTTGTTTTTTTTAAATATAAGAAATGAATAAACAAATTAAAGAAGAAATTTTAATTTACCAATTTGCCATTGGTTTTATCTGCCACTGAATTATCCATTCAAAACTGTGACTGTGATGATGTCATTGTAATATTTGTACTCTGAATTGCAGTAGGTCTTTTGTTTTGCATAAATTAGCATACTTGATTGCAACTGGTCTTCAGTCTTGTGTAAATTTGCATTCTGAACTGCAATTGGTTTTCTCTTACCTATATCTATTTAATAATCTAGAGCAACTTTGAAGGTGTCAAGTTATGTGTTGATTCTTTTTGTGCAAAGCCAAAATAAAAAAAGATGCATCTTTAGTGCCATGACAGCAGCAATGACAACTCTGATGGTGCATTTTATTTACACAGATCCAAAGCTTAAAACCCAAGCTTGCTGAAACTTTTAACAAATTATTTTTTTGCCTTGCAAGCACTGCTATTTACTAAAGGATTTTTTTTTCCTGTACAAGGTTAAAACATTCGTAATTATTTGCATTTTATAATAATGAAACAAGGTCCTGCACAAATCGAATGATGCCAAAAAGGTCCTTGTAAAAGAATAGTTTGCTCAAAATTTACATTTTGTCATCATTTACTAACCCTCTTGTCACACTAAACCCAAATGACGGTGTTCAAGGAATATCCTGACATCTCCATTGGACTGTTTTCATGGCAACCGGACCATTATGTTAGCTGAAATTGAGAACCAGACCAGTTCATTTATGAATCATTCAAATGTGTTGTGTGAACTGGATTCATCAGTTAATTTAAAATGAATCAGTGATTACTCCTAAGATAATTCCTTCATGAACTCTCATAATGAATCCACCCAGAAGAGCTAGGACAGTTTTTCAGTGATTTTGGTCTGTTTTTCATATAAAGCTAAAGAATGGCTTCAGAAGATTTAGAATAAACTTCCCTGTTTCATGGAAGAAAACAAAACGCATACAGGTTTGGAAGAAAGAAACTAAAACAACATGAGGAGGGTGAGTAAATGGTGACAGAATTTTCATTTTGCAATAAGTTTGTTTCTGAATGTCTATCATAAACAAACATACCAAAATGAAAGGCTGGAATCGCTGCTTCAGGAAACAGGACTTTCAACATCACAGCTGAAAAATCACATTGAGCACTGATGTAAAAACAGATCAACATGAACTTTTCTTCGAATCAAGTAGATTGACATCTTGATCAGTCTTAAGTCTTGATTCAGGCCACTAAAATGTCAATATGTGAGCTTGCACTTACTATTCCTTCCTTTCTTACAGCCAAGGCTGGAGCAGGGGCAACTCCTGAAAAAAAGGTACAGTCGTTATCATGGGTGATATTATGGTTTGTGGGAAAAGCAGCTATAAGTCCGTAGCCAGATGAGCTAAAATACGCAACAACTGAGAGGAGTCATTGATTTGTTTTACACTTAATTTAAATCATCTTCAAGTTTAGTCTGAAATTTTATTTGGAATTTTTGTTTCATTTTTTATTGCATTTTAGCATCTCTTTAATTTTTCAGTTAATTTACTGATTGCTTCTTGCTATTGTTTTACATTTTTGTCTTTATCACCTTCTCAAACACATAAGATACCCATCACAACCCCGCATGCAAAATCTAGACCCACTTCTGCCCCCCAAAGAGGGTCTTCAGTCTCAGGCATCCCCAGCAAAAAGCCCTCAGTCTCTTCCTCAACTCCACCATGTCGCTTTAGCAGTCCAGGCTCTGCAAACTCTGTAAAAAGGCCCAACAGTGCAGGAGCAAGAGAGTCCTGGGCCACGGTGAGTACTGCCACCCATCCCTAACCATTGGCCAAGAGAATTTGTTGTGAACATTTTACAACAAATTCCCCCCAAAATGCAAACCCTACGAGGAGATTGAATTTACAGCACCTGAGACTTCACAACATCAACATCCTTATTACCAGAGCAGAAAGAGAAGCTAATGAATGGATTTCTGTCATGTTTTGCGTGTATTGTTGCATTGAAATGGTTATAAAAACTCCCTGAAAAAAGCTGAAAATTTACTATTAGCTGATTTTTGATTTTATTGTTCATATTTAGGCTGGAGATGCCAAGACAAAGACAGCGGGTGCCAAACCCCAAGGAGTTGGCACCAGAATGCCTGGTATGTGATTTTCAGATGCATCTTTTCAAGGGTCCACATTAATCTTTGTTTAGTACCATGAAAAGGAAGGATACTTGGTGATTCAACCTTTCATTTCCCTTACTGACAGTTTGAAAAGGAAATTGAATGTTATTATGTGAACTAAGCACTTTCAGGCAATGGAGTCCTCACTATTTACAACAAATTTCCCTTTTTAATGCATTCTCCCATGGCATTCAGTGTGACATGACAAATGAAAGTGCACTGATCACAAATTCATAAGCAAGTAAAATCTGGAAGTATTGTGTGGTTCAGTGTATTCACTGCATGGCAAACTGCAAAAGTGAGCACACCTTCCCATCATTTTACTGTGCACCATTTAACTAGTCTTTAGGAAGTACATAATATCTGCCTACTTGAAATGGGTTATGAAACCCCAAGGGAATGATTCTCTATTTATAGAGAATTTACATGACTGATTTGTACCACTTTGATTTGTGAAATACAGCTGCTTCACGGATGGAGCAGCGAAAGGCAGGACCAGGGTCCATTGAAAGAGGTAAAAAAAAAAAAGCCTCTTTTGTGTGGTAGCCAGTTGAATGCTTGCAATCGAAAAATCTGCACTGCTGAAATAATTTAAAAAAGTGCACAAAACTCCATGAAAGCTCCTATATATTCTACAAAATTTCAAAGAAAGGCTGGAAGGCGATAGTTAACTAAAGAGTAAAAAAATCAGAAGAGCAAAAAAGGATGAAAATATTTTGGTCTTCTGTTGTTTTTCATCGTCAGCTGACTCACCTAAAACCCCAGACCGTAGTGGTTGCAGCAGCCCAGCCAGTCGGTCCTCCACCCCTGGACAACAGGTGAAGAAAGTAGCGGTGGTGCGCACCCCTCCCAAATCACCTGGTTCATTGAGATCTCGCGCCCCGATCGCTCCTGTTGCACCCTTGCCTGACCTGAAGAACATCAAGTCCAAGATCGGCTCCACTGAGAACATCAAACACCAACCTGGAGGCGGGAAGGTAATTCGGTCATGCATGATTTTGAACTGGTAAAATCAAATGTCTGAAAACAAAACCAGCTGGTTTGGATGCATTTATTGTGAAGTTGAAAGATTCGCATACAGTAAAGCTCTAGGGGACAACTTTGACCCCATCTGATGGAAGTAGGCCAATCATGTTTGAGTGGAGATTTGGATTATTTCTATCTGAACTCCATTCTTTAGGTTCAGATATTTGACAGAAAAGCCTATAATTAAGTTCACTCATGTTGGGGACAGGTAGTTAACCATTGTCAGACTAAATTGGAAGTACGTCAAGACTGAAAAGCAATTTTATGTCTTTAACAATTGAAGTAACCTCTTTGCAGAGCCTGGGATCTTCAGCTCAACTCAAAGCATCAGGTTAACGCTCTTGACTCTTCTTGTCCTGTTCCAGGTGGCTATTGTTCATAAGAAGATCGACTTTTCTAATGTTCAGTCTAGATGTGGATCCAAAGACAATATCAAGCATGTTCCTGGAGGTGATAATGCGAGTAACCGATAGGGTTAGAACTCCTCGCTCTGAAAAATAGTGTAGTTAGAAGCAGTTAAAGGGGTCATATGATGCTGCTAAAAAGAACATTATTTGGTGTATTTGGTGTTAGGCCGGGACAGAGTGAGCTCAGGCCGGGATAGAGTGAGCTGAGGCGGCGGGGTCGAGAACGGCGCGCCCGGCGGATGCGACGAATGAGCGGCAACCACATGTGACGACCCCGGGCTGGACTCCGCTTCGTCCACGGTGAAAGTTGATGTATTCCCTCAGCGACCAGCACAGATCAGCTCTAGGCATGACAAAGCGGATATCGTCCTCTTTTGGAAGACCAAACAAAGTAGTTTCGCTTTCACAACGAAGCACACAGCGTCTTCACGACATGGCTGCAGCGTCAACAATACTACAGTGAGAATAAAAGTTACGCCTTCTTTCTTTGCGTGAACATTTGGGCGGCGTTATGCAAATCTTCCCACATAGTGAGGTAGATATGTGGGGGCGTGTTAGAACGAGCCGTTTTAGGTAGGTGTGGCTGACTCTGAACTTTTATAAAGAATATCTCTTTGGATTTGAGACTTTAGTCTTTGCAACTTTACAGATCTTCTTTATGCACCAAGAGCTTGAAACACTCCAAAGAGAAAGGAAAAATTGAAATCGCATCATATGACCCCTTTAACATTAGATACAGCTGTAAAATAGTACAGGAAAAAGAAGAGAAGAACAACCAAACATACTATTATATTTCAGCTGTGTTTTTGATTGAAAATAGGACCCAACACAGACATAATGTATATGAAATATCCTGTAAAAGGATTTGTGAATCAGAGCAGTTTCTTCAGGATATTACCCCACTTATGTCTAAGTCTAATATTCTACTTGATATGTTTTGAAATGGTCAAAAATGATTGACTTAAACACCTCAAGCTTTGACTATGACTGTTGCACATTTCCAACAGACAGTTTCAAGTATGTAAAGCTTTCAAAGACAGTTCTGCACACTCAGTGTGAATAGTTACCTTTTGTAACTAATGAAACCCTGACACACATACCCACAGTCAAAGCTTTTAAGTAGCTCTCCATCAACAAGTCAAGTATTATCTACCAAACACCCACACAGCCAAAAGTAGTTTTTAAACTGTTAGATTAAATTAGATTAAAATGTATTCACCTGTTTTAACTTACTACTGAGCTTGAACATCCAAGACTTTTAAAAAATTGCTGTAATTTGAGAGCTGTTTATTATTTTATTTCCTTAAAGTGACAAAAAATGTTAACATTTGTTACTTAAAGTAAACACATTGTTTTTAATTAACATTACATGTAAATAGAATTTACACAGTATAGTCTTGCATCTTAGCATATTAACAGTTCTGTTCTACATGTACATATTATGTACTTACTATAGTGATTACAATAATTAGGTAATAACCCTGAACCTACCCCTAAACCCCTAAGGTAACCCATTATATTTTCTTAGGTAAGTACATTGCAAGTATACACAAGTCACTTTAAAAAAAAAGTGCAACCAACTTTATTAATATCTTTTAAGCTCTTGTTGATCTTGCAAGAGATGAAACAAAACAGTTCAAATGTGAACTGACTAGTGGCTTTAGCTATGAGATGTGTTAAAAAATGCCAGTTTTGTGAAGGTTTGGCTAGTCCAGGGACTGCAGCATGCCTGCACTGGCAATGCATTTGGGCAAGACATCCATCTAGATGCCTTTGCACAAACTAGGTTCAATTGATTTTTGCCTGAATCCCCAGTGTTGGTATCTCCTCTTACCTAGCGTTCCTCCTGAATCGCTGACTGGTTGTTGCAGATGTGCTGTGTAGATTGCATGCATGTACAATAAATTCCTCTGCAGGTGAAGATTGTGAAGGGGTCTCAGGCAGTCAGATATGCAGAAAAATTAGAGAGAAAAAAAACTCCCAGGGATATGGATCTTCACTTGAGAGCTTGAAACTGAGCATTTGCATTACAGTGCTTGCAAGGTGAATTCAAATCCAGTAATCTGCAATACTTAATTTTTCTTCCTCGTGCTTTTTTTTTTGCAATTTTTTTCACCTTGAACTGCTTAATGTCTCAATTCAGACATTGCTTTGTAGATCATTTCATCCTTTGGTGTGCTACTTGTTTCTGTTCTAATCTGGATCACTTTGCCAAAGAAGTTGTTTTGTTGCCTTACAAGCAATGTATTGCCTTCAGATGTAAATGTAGTTATATCTGAGTTTCGCCTGAAACAGTAAATCAGATATAACATGCATTTTTGCATTACAATCTCTTCCATCTATAAGCCCATGGGTCCTTTTGACTAAAACATTGAGTGATGCATAAATTGAGTGAATCTCTTTTCTGACTCAGTATTTGGGACAGAGATGAAAATTTCCATGTCTAGAATCTTTTTTGAAAGGGTATTTATTTACACATTTTTACATGAGATGTATTCAGACAGATAGTAACCAGTCAATCATATATCTGATGTCAACCTAGTCTATGTACATATATTTTACTCCAAAATTGAAATACGTCACTCCATTAAAATCGCATGAAGCGTGAGCATATAAATTGGATTTAGATCTACTTTGTGGTGGCCTATCAGTGGAAGCAAGTTACTTCTCTGTCCCATGAACCCTGTTGTTGGGAATAATGGTCATTTTCCTACTCCAGATCATCAGCTCCTCAGGTGCCTGAGCATGCAGTTCATTTCCTTCCAAATTGCTCTGTTTGATAACTGACTCTATTTGTTCCTCATGCTTCAGGTTCAGATAGTGCACAAAAAGATCGACCTAAGCAACGTCCAATCAAAGTGTGGCTCCAAGGTCAACATTCATCACAAACCGGGTGAGATTTCAGTCAGAAACATTGTATAAAAATGCCATTAGGCATGACCGATATTGCTTATTCAAGACATAAAATGTTTCTGCAAGTTTCATATTGTACAATTTTTTACATCTTATTTACCTTAATAGATTAGAAGTGCCATCCCTACCTTTACCTTCACCTTCAGTACACTGAAAACAATTGGGAAAGGTTTGATTTAAACAGAAGTTGTCCACATTCGTCTGTATTTTAGGAGGTGGAAATGTGGAGATCAAATCTGAGAAGTTGGATTTCAAAGGCCAGTCAAAGGTTGGATCTCTGGAGAACATTGGACATGTTCCTAGGGGCGGACAGAGGAAGGTATGTTCTTGACTTCATTAAACACAACGAGTCTCTAATGAGTCACAAATGTGCAATACTGTGTTGAATTATTTGTCATTTGGATGAAGCTAATTCACAACAACAATAATACAAATGCATAAGACAACTACTCTTACAGGTGCATCTCAATAAATTAGAATGTCGTGGAAAAGTTCATTTATTTCAGTAATTCAACTCAAATTGTGAAACTCGTGTATTAAATAAATTCAATGCACACAGACTGAAGTAGTTTAAGTCTTTGGTTCTTTTGACATTCTAATTTATTGAGATGCACCTGTATCTGCAATACTGACTTGAAAGTTTCCTTCATGTTAGATCTTGCTATGGTCAGCATGCTTCCTCCTGCTTGGCAGACTTCAGTGTACTTTTTTTGCACATATTTTTGACGACTTTTTTGAGTTGCCTTTAAGATCTACTGTTCTGCTCCTAATCTAGAGCAAATGTTATTATCCTGTGGCCCATTAACTATTTATTTAAATGTTTATTTCATCCAAAATCTTAAACTTGCTCAGAATTTACTCACATCATGTTGTTCCAAACCTGCATGACTTTATGTCTTCCATGGAACACAAAAGAAGACGTTTAGCAGAATGTTTTGACTCCTCTTCTCATTTAATGAAAGTGAATGGGGGCTGGGTATTACATTTATTCCTATAGGTTCTAATGAATTACATATAATTATATATTAAATGAATGAATTAGGATGATTTTATATATGTAATAAATGAAATCAACGTACAGCACAGGATTTACTGGATGATAGAAGCTGGGTGTCTTGCTCTCCTTCATCTCCTCTCTCTACTGAGCACATTTTTAAGATCACTGCATTTTCTGGTGCTCCCTTGCTTAGTGCTAACTATTCTTCCATTCAGCGATCTTCTGCTCCTGTGTCCCTTTTTTATCACACATGACCAAAAAACTGCTGACTGAGTGCTGCTTTCATGCGTTCACATTCAGAAACATTCAGGAATCGAGTAGGAGTGCTGATCTGAGAACCATATCTTGAGCACATGAAAGATAATAAACTTATGTAAAATCATGGAACTGAATCTCAGATGAACGTTTTTAATAAATCAGTAAAACTCTCACAGAATTCATTCATTTTAATTTGGTTCAGTTGTGAGGTTGAATCAACTTGATTGTTGGGAATGATTGTTTGGGAATAATGTTTTATGGTGGATGCCATTTAAATTTATATAATTTTTAGTCTAGCACTAGATACATGATAATTTTGGATTCAGAACACATAAATAAATGAACTTCTGATCAAACAGTTTTTGCTCTTAACTTATTGATGGGCATTATTATTTGATCCAAAGCAAGATGATGATGGAGTAGATCAGCACTCTTACTTGGAAATATTTCTTAAGTATTGAAACAGCTTCACCCCTTCTCCCAGCATTCCCTCTAGTTTGAGTGTTTTTTTTATCCCTTCATAACCTCATTTCATAATTTGCATCCCAACCCATTTTGTTTTGTTTACCCATAACCATGTGAACTCTGTGGCGTCCACACTGTAGAGGGAGAAGGGGAAGGAAGCAGAGCCGCAGGCCGCAAATGCTTCCTCTAATGGGGACGCTGTTCACTCTAATGATGTGGACGTGACCTTTGACCTTCCCTCCTCTGAAGGGAACAGGCTGGTTAAGTCAGAGGGCCTCAGTAAGTATATCACTGGAATTATCAAGTGTCAATTTAACTGACTTGTCATCATTACATGGTTTTTATGTCCTTCTGTGCTAGGAATAATTTTGTCAGCACTGTGATAAGTCTTATTTCAATTCAATAGTGCATTATCTTTATAAGAAATATTTTTGTACATTTCTGATCCCACTTATGTGAGCAAATATAACTATTCTTATTAAAATTAATGGGATGGATGCAAAAGGTATAAGCAAGAAGACTAGTACTGAAGGTTTATTATATATA